CTCTCTCTCTCTGGGTCTCTGTCCCTCTCTCTCTCTGGGTCTCTGTCCACCTCTCTCTCTCTCTCTGGGTCTCTGTTCCTCTCTCTCTCTCACTCTCATTCTCTCTAGGTCTCCATCTCTTACTCCATCTTGCCCAACTCTCCCCAAATCCCTTTGCAGAGCCAGAGTTGAAGAACATAGTCCTGGCACTGACCCTCTTCTTCCTTGCCAGACCCCTGCTCCCTTACCTCTCAGGACTCTGAAGACCACAAAATGAGAAAGCCTAGAAGACAGGGCTGCCCAGAGCCAGGGACCTCCTGCCTCTGTCTCCTGCTCTTTCTCCATCCCGATCGCCTGCCTCTTCCTCTCCCTCTGGTGCTCTCATCTTCCATCTCTGCCTCCTTGTCTCCTTTCTGTCAGTCTAGGTCTCCACTGTCTGTATCCTCATCACTTCCTCTTTATCCATCTCTCCCTCTGTCTCTCTGTCTCCTTGTTCTGCTTATCTTCCTTCTCTCTCTGTCTTCCATGGTATCACCATTTCTTTCTATCGCCTCCTTCCATCATCATTGATGATATTCTGTATGGGTGTGTAAGGGGGAGTTATCTCTACCTCTTTTATCTCTCTCCACCTTTTTCTCTCTCTGTGTCTGTTTCCATCCTATCTTCACCTCCTTCCCTCTGTTTTTCTCTCCCTTCACCTCTCCACACTCATTTCTCCATGCTTTCTTCTTCCTCTGTCCTGTTTCCTCCCCCTCTGCCTCCTCTGTTTCCCCATCTACACTTGTCTTCCTCCTCTTTCTCTAGTTCAATCCAGAACATTAAGCCTAGATCTCAGCCAGCCCAGTATCTTTCTTCCTCTTTCTCCTCATCTCTCTTTACCTTTTATACCTCTCTCTCTGTGCCTGTACTTCTTTTACTCTCTCTGTCTCTCCACTTTCGTATTTCACTTCTCTTTCATTTCCCCAGCCTCTCTCCTCCTCCGGCCACCTCTCTCTATGCCTCCCTCTCTCAGCCCCTCCCAGCACCTTCCTCTGAGTCTGAGTCCCCCCCTCCCCTTCCCCACAGTGTCAGGAATCTACCACCACTGACTGGGAACCCTCCCCTGCCCACCCTGTCCTGGGGTCCCCCTCCCTGGATTCCTCTCAGATGATAACATCTTCACCAGGCATGCTCTCATTAACAATTGTGGCTGCTTTACCAGTCAGAGAAGGGAGGGAGGGGATGGGACCAGAGAGCCCTAGAATGGGAACTCAGCAATTAAAAAAAAAAAGTCAGGAGAAGGGCGGGGTGGGGTGGATGGGACAGGGCCAACTGCCCAGACCAGGGATAAAAGGCCTCTGTGTAGCTAGGGAAGAGAGACACCACTCCCATTTCCTCCACACATCAAGGCAGGTGGGAAGTGAGCCTTGCTCAGCATCCTCCTTTTCACCACGGAAGAGCCCCCTGGGCCACACCTTCCTGGTCTCTGGCTTCTACTTCTGTCTCTCTGTCTCAGGTCTCTGAGGGCCTTGGTGTGTGTAGCTGTGGCTGTCTCTGTCTCTCAGCCTGATTCTCTTGCAAGCTCTTCCTCTATTACTTTCTTTTTGCATTTTCCAGAACCTGCCCCCCACCCCCTAGAATGTTCTTCCTGCTGACAGCACTTCAAATCTTGGCTGTAGGTAAGAGAGCAGTGGGCAGGAGGTGGGATGGGAGTTCCCTGGGGAACCAGGCTGTTCATAAGTAGGCTGATGAGAACAAGTAGGGAGTAGTTTAAGGATCATGTCTAAGGAGTGTGGTGGGGACAAAGTTCTGAGTTGTGAGAATATCAAAATGGGGGGGGGTCCATAGGAGACAACTGGCAAGGAGAAATAAATAAGGAATTGTGGAGAACTATGGGGTCCTAAGGGGGTCATATTGGAAAGGAGGGCCACAGGGCACTTCTTGATTGTGTTAGAGAAGAACTAATATGGAGAAAGATAGAATGTTGTCAGAAGTGATGGTGGAGGGGGGTCATGGGGAGGGGGGTCATGGGAAAGGATGTGATATGATGGATGAAATGGGTGCATGGCGAGATAATGGATTCGGGAAGTTCACATTGATTGGGAAGGTTATGGAAGGGACAGGGAACTCCTTGGATATGTTGGGGAAGGATTAATGGAGGGAAACCTGGCATATTGTTAACAATGGTGATAGTAAATATGGGAGAGTGGAGTCAAGGGTAGTAGTTGTAGCAAAGACCTGGATGAGGGGACTGTGAGACAGAATAATAGATGCTATGGTGGTGATTATGGTGGTGGTGGTAAGAGAGGTCAGGAGATTCCCTGACTGTGTAGGGCAATAATGGGGTAATGTTGGGCATATTTCCCATTGGGTGGGGCAGATAGATGTGGGTGGGTTAGGGGCTAAGTCAAAATGAAGGAGATTTGTGCGTAATGGATTCCTAGAGGGTTGGGGAGTAGAGCATTTGTTCATCTGCTTTACCCACCCCACCCCACTTCTGCCTATTTCTAGCCATGGTACAGAGCCAAGAGAATGAGAACAAGATAATTGGTGGCTATTCATGCATCCAGAATTCCCAGCCGTGGCAGGTGGCCCTACTGGCAGGCCCTGGTCATCGCTTCTTCTGTGGAGGGGTTCTGCTGTCAGAAGAGTGGGCCATCACCGCTGCTCACTGTGCCCAACCGTGAGTGAACCCTCCCCTATGCTTGACCCAACAAGTGCATTCCAGAATCTAGAACCCTAGAGCTCAGTCAAAAATCTGGAGCCCTGTTTAGAACCCAGTGTAGAATCTAGGTCCTGGTTTCGGATCTAGATAAGAGTCTAGAACCAAGAACACAGCTCAGAACATGGAATCCAGCCACAAATCTTGAACTCAGTTTAGATTCTGAAGGCAGACAGATAGCTTAGAACCCATAGGCCAGCTTAGAGTCTCACACAGAACCTAGAACTTAACATATAACCTGGAGATCCATCCAGAGCCCAAGCTCTACATAAAGACTAAAATTTGGGACCCGTTACAGATTTGGATTTGAATTCAGGGCACAGTCTACATCAGAAACTTAGAACCCTTTTCAGAACACTGCCTTGAACCCAGAGCCCAGTTCAGAACCTGCAATCCAGCAATAAATTCAGAAGGGACAAGGAACTCCTAGAATGTGTTGAGTGAATCCTGCTGGAACATATAACTCAGAGTTTAGAATAGAGAATAGAACCTTCAGCCCATTCCACACCCAAGATTTAATTCAGAGTCAAATCTACAGCCTTTCTTTGAACAATCTAGAACCCAGTGTCTAAAACTCAGAATGCAGAACATAATCTGAAGCCCCATATAGAACCCACAGCCCACCGTGGATTCTATACCTAAACCTAGAACCCAGACCCCAGCCTAGAAGTCAAACACCAGACTAGAGCCCAGAACTCACCCAGTGACTATAAACTCAGATCTAATGCCTTAACCTGATGTTCAATCTAGAACCGAGCCCAGGTTTCATCCCAGTGTCTACAACACAAAGCCCAGAGTACAAACCAGCATCTGGAACCTTGAGTTCAAGCCATAACCTGGAGCTCTGCCTAGAACCCAGAGCCCAACCAGAAGTCAAGAGCTCAGATCAGAGTCTAGAGCCAAGAGTTTAGACTAGAACCTATAATTCAATCTGAAACAGCCCAACTTAGAATCAAGAGCTCAGACCAGTGTTTCAAACTCTGAGCCCAGCTGGAGCACAGAGCTCAAACCAGTGTCTAGAGCCCAGCTCATAAACCAGAGCTTAATCTAGAACCCAGAGCTCAATCTAGAAACTGGAACTCCTATCAGTGTCTAGAATCTAGGGTCCTGGTCATAGTAATCCATTGCTCAATATAGAATCCTTAGCCTACCCTAAAACTCAAAGCTCAAACCAATATCTGGAACCCAGTCTCAAGCAATAACACTGAGCTCAAAATTCTTAGCCTACTCAAAAACTGAAAACTCACACCAGTATCTAGAATTTATGCCGTAATTCAGACTCAGTCTAGAACCCTGATCCTAGCCTACAATCAAAAGCTCAAAATGTCTAGAACCCAGAGCCTAGGCCATAACTGAGATGGAACTGCCCTGGAGCCCACTCCAGAATATCAATTCTGATTTACAGTCTAGAGTCATAGTCCAGAGTCTCACCTAGAAGTCAAAGCATATAACCCAACACAGACTCTGCAGTTGAACCAAGAACTCACAGCCATTATTTTACACCCAAGCCAGGAGTCAGAGCACAACTCAAGAGAGGGAGGGGAGGAAGGTAGGGTTGAGCCAAGAGAGACTGTCCAGGCTATGGGAAAGGACACAGGAGACCAGGAAACGCTCAGCCTGCCGTCAAAGGGATGTTGTTGGGTGCCATCGAGCTGATTCCAACTCAGAGCAACCCCATGTGAGTCAGAGTAGAATTGCCCCATAGGGTTTTCTTGGCTATAAACTTTATGGAAGCAGATTGCCAGGGCTTTCTCCCGAGGAGCTGCTGGGTGGGCTCGAACTGCCAACCTTTCAGTTAGCAGCTGAGTGCTTAACCGTTGCACCACCAGGGTTCCTTGCAGTCAGAGGGAAGCAGGTTAGACTTGGAGGAAAACTCATCCACAGGGATAGGGACAGTGCTGGAGGGTGGGGAGGGATCTCTGGGCCAGACCATGAGCAGGGCTACTCTTGGGGGTCCTGGGCCAGAATCCTTCGGGTAGCCCTGGGCAAGAACAACCTGAAGAGATGGGAAGCCACACAGCAGGTGTTGCGTGTGGTTTGCCAAGTGCCACACCCCCAATACAACTCCCGGACCTCCAACAATGACCTGATGATGTTACGGCTGGAGCGGCCGGCCCGCCTGGGGAGGGCAGTGAAGCCCATCGCTGTGGCCCAGTCTTGTGCCAGCCCTGGGACCCTCTGCAGTGTATCGGGCTGGGGCAGCATATCCAGCCCCAATGGTGAGGACCCAGATTCCTGCATCCTGGAAAGGAGAGGGTGGAGGTCGGACTTCTGGGTCTGAGGGAAGAGGGGTCTGGGGGCCTGGGCTCCTAAGTCTGAGGGAGGAGGGGCTGGGGGCCTGGGCTCCTGGATCTGAGGGAGGAGGGGCTGGGGGCCTGGGCTTCTAGGTCTGAGGGAGGAGGGGCTGGGGGCCCAGACTCCCGGGTCCTATTGGAGGACAGACCTAGTCATAACCCCTCAGTGCCTCCCCAGTCAGGTACCCCGACTCTCTGCAGTGTGTGAACGTCAACATCGTCTCTGATCAGGCATGCCAGCAGGCCTATTCCGGAGCCATCACTCCTGGCATGGTCTGTGCAGGGGTTCCCCAGGGCGGCAAGGATTCATGTCAGGTAAGGCTCGGGGTGGAAGCTGGAGAAGGGGTATTGTTTGGGGGTGGGATATAGACACCAAAGGGTCACAGGAACATGAAAGTTAGCAGAGGTCCAGAGAGGGAGGGAAACCCTAGGGACTGAAAGCGATTACAATAGCCAGCATAAGCTGCTCCCTACCTGTACAAGCTTGGATAATGGACCTAATGCCTTTAGGCCTCAGTTTTCTCATCTCTCAAGTAGGGATAGCACCTCTTAGGGTAGCTGGTGGAATTAGATGAGATAATCCATGGAAAAGGCATAAGGCAGAGCCTGTACATATCTCTAATGACTGCTATCATCGCTGTCATTATTACATGCGGGTATACGGAAAACTACCAGGAGCCCTGGTGGTGCAATGGTTAAAGTGCCTGGCTGTTAACCGAAAAGTCAGTGGTTCAAACCCACCAGCCGCTCCAAGGGAGGAAGATGCGGCAGTCTGCTTCCGTAAAGATTTACAGCCTTGGAAACCGTATGGGGCAGTTCCCATCTGTCCTATAGGGTCACTGTAAGTTGGAATCAACTCAATGGCAATGGGTAGGGTAGGTCTGTTTATGAAAAACGGGGCTCAAGTCCTCTAAAAATCTTAATCCAGCCCTGAGAGAGGCAGAGACAGGGAGATACAAAGAGAGAGAAATAGTTTTTTAGAGATAGAGCCAAGATGAAGTGGGGACCAGGGAGACCCAAAGACAGAGACAGGCACAGAGACAGAGAGACACAGAGACACAGAGAGGGAGCAGGAACCAGTGGAGAGGGACAGAACTGGCCCTCCCACCCCCAGGCTGTGATTACCGAGCTGGGCAGGATGGCCTCCTGGAGGCCCTGCCCAGCGTCTGAGCCCTGTCCTCCATCTCTGCCTCCCTTCATCAGCTTCTCACGTCCACGGCTGTGGCCATCTATCAGTGGTGTCTCCATGTCTGTCTTTCCCCCTCAGGGTGACTCTGGGGGACCCCTGGTGTGTGGAGGACAGCTCCAGGGCCTCGTATCCTGGGGGATAGAGCGCTGTGCCCAGCCTGGTTACCCTGGGGTCTACACCAACCTGTGCCGATACGGAGACTGGATCCAGGAAACGATGGGGAACAAGTGATAATTGGTGTCACCCTGCCTGTGGCCACCAGCCTCTCGTGTTTTCCCTGGACCCCTCCTCCCTCAGACCCAGGAGTCCTGGCCTCCAGCCTCCTCCTCCCTCAGACCCAGGAGTCCAGATCCCCAGCCCCTATTCCCTCAGACCCAGGAGTCCAGGCCCTACCCTCCTGGTCCCTACCTCTGGATCAGAACTCCCATTTCTCACAGCAGTTTCTTCAGGTTTTCTCTCCCCACTCAGCCCTCTTAACCCCATATGAAGTCATTATTCAAGACCCCGCAGGCACAGAGGGCATGGATGTGAAGGCTCTTGAACTGGCATCGTATTCCAAAGCAGACACTTTTAAAAACTCTTAATGCCTCTGCAAAGCAGATCATAATAATAATAAATTGAATAATCCCAAATTTCAGTCATTCATTTCACTCCTTCAACAAACACCAAGCATGCACAGCAGCCCCATCGTTCCCAGTCAGGAGCTGCACAGGTTCCATCAAGTGGCTGACTCTGTGTATACTGTACCCTGGGGTTCTGCTTCCTCCACCATCCTTGGATCTGGTGACTTCCAGCAGGGCTGCACTGCTCCCAGCCTCCTCTCTGGGTCCTTTGAGCAGGGACTTCTGAGATCCAGAGTAAGGAGGGCAAGAACCTGCTTAGTTTCAACACAGCGAAGAGTCCCGGACAGAGCAGGAGAAAAATGTAGAGCAGAACTCAAAATCACATAAAAAAAAACAGACTTAATGGTCTGATAGAGACTGGAAGAACCCCTAAAACTATGGCCCCCAGACACACTGTTAACCCAGAACTGAAACGATTCCCAAAGCCCACTCTTCAGACAAAGATTAGACAGGACTATAAAACAAAAAATAATACACGTGAGGAATGTGCTTCTTAATTCGATCAGATACACAAGACCAAATGGGCAGCTCCTGTCCAAAAGCAGGATGAGAAGACAGGAAAGGACATGAACTGGTCGAATGGACACAGGGAACCCTGGGTGGAAAGGGAGAGCGTGCTGTCACATTGTGGGGATTGCAACTAATGTCACAAAACAACATGTATATAAATTTTTGTATGAGAAATTAATTTGAGCTGTATACTTTCACCTAAAGCACAATTAAAAAAAAAAAAAAAAAAAAAAAACCTGCCTAGTTTCCTGGAAAACATTATGCAAATAGAGAGGTTCCTCCCCTACCCCCATCTCAGGTGAGGAGAGCTGAGCCAAGCACACCTTTGAGTCATCGGATCTGAGGTAAGGAGAATTAAGCACACTTTTGCCTTCAAGTCCTGGCAAAGCCCTGCTCTCATTTTCTTTATTTCCACCCTTTCTCCTTGACTCAATCCTCCTCCTTCCCCACAGGCACCAACTTGAATGGCCTCAAATATCCTGTATCCCTTGGAAAACATGTTGAGTTGTGCTGTTTCTAATTTACATGAAGCCACTGTGTTATGATTCTCATTCTCTTTCTTATTCTCATTCATCAGTGATTATTTGTGGGGCAACTACTACACATAAGGCATTGTTCTATTTATTGGGTGCCTAGCAGTCCCCCCAAAATACCAAACCCCTTGCCATTGAGTCAATTCCAACTCATAGCAACTCTGTAGGACAGAGTAGAACTGCCCCATAGGGTTTCCAAGGAGTGGCTGGTGGATTCAAACTGCCTACCTTTTGGTTAGCAGCCGAGTTCTTAACCACTGTGCCACCAGGGCGAGTCTCCAGGTGCTGCAAATAGTTGATGCACTCTGCTGCTAACTGAAATGCTGGAGGTTCAAATCCACCCAAAGGCACCTCAGAAGAAAGGCCTGGCAGTCTATTTCTAAAAAAGCAGCCATTGAAAACCCTATGGAGCACAGTTCTACTCTGACACACATGGGGTCGCCTTGAGTGGGAATCGACTCCAAGGCAACTGGTTTTACTATGCACCAGGCATTGTTCTAGGTGTAGGGGATACAGCTGTGGACAAAGCAGACAAAATCTCTACCCTCACAGAGCTTACATTCTAGCAGAGGGAGACAGACAAGAAACAATAAACTTCCACAAAAACTAGAGACTCTACCAGTCTGAGACCAGGAAAATTAGATGACGCCCAGCCACCACCAATGACCGCCCTGACAGGGAACACAACACAGAGTCCCGAATAAAGTGTGAGACAAGTGCAGAGTAGAACTCAAATTCATGTAATGATCTGATAGAGACTGGAGGAACCCTCAACGCTATGGCCCCCAGACACACTGTTGACCCAGAGCTGAAATCATTCCTAAAGCCCCCTCTTCAGACAAATATTAGACAGGACCATAAAATCAGAAATAATACACGTGAGGAGTGTGCTTCTTAGTTCAATCAGATACACGAGACCAAATGGGCAGCTCCTGTCCAAAAGCAGGATGAGAAGGCAGGAAGGGATAGGAACTGGTCGAATGGACACAGAGAACCCGGAGTGGAAAGAGGGAGTGTGCTGTCACATTGTGGGGACTGCACCTAATGTCACAAAACAAAATGTGTGTAAATTTTTGTGTGAGAAATTAGGTAAACTTTTCACCTAAAGCACAATAAAAAATAAAAAATTTTTAAAAAGAAACAATAAACTTATTTTAAAAGTATAGAGTCCCTATGAGCAAAAAGTCAATAAGCATGGACTGGGAGCAGGCCCATTATATGCCAGAACCTTGTACCAGTCCGCAAGAGTCTGTTGGCAAATTTTCAGGAATTTTGAGAGCCAGCGACTGACTCATGGCGACCCCATGTGTGTCAGAGCAGAACTACTCCATAGGGTTTTTAAGGCTATGATCTTTTAAAAGTAGATTACCAGGCCCTTCTTCCCGAATGCCTCTGGGTAGACTTAAACCTCCAACCTTTCAGTTAGCAGCCAAGGATGTTAACCGTTTGCACCACCCACGGTCTCTTGTTAAACACAGGTACTATTAAAAATGAGATTATATAAAAGATTGCCAGGAAATGAACCTGTGCCTTCTGTGTTAAGGTCACACATACACACACACCTTGGCTCCCATATGTGACAGCCACATAAAACCCATGGAGAAGGGGGCAAAAAAATGTACTTGGGTAACTTTGGACCGGCAAAGAGATGAAGATACAGCCCGTGCTATATAATTCTCACCCTGCATCCTTCTGTAAAACCAAAACCCAAACCAGTCGCCTTCCAGCTGATTCCAATTCATGGCGACCCCATGTATGTCCGAGCAGAACTGGACTCCATAGGGTTTTCATTTTTGGCTGGGTGTTCAAAAGCAGATCTCAAAGCTCTTCTTTGGAAGTGCCTCAGGGTGGACTTGATCTTCCAACCTTTCGGTTAGCAGCCAAACACATGAATTATCTGCACATCCAGGGCCTCCTTATCCTTCTATAAAGCTAAGTAAAAGTAGTTTAAAGATTATTTTAACATGATTTTCAAACCATAGTTCTAGCAGTGATCACTTACCACTATATTTTATTGATTCTAAGACACACATTCTTTTCATATTTTTAACATCTCTGAAATAGGGAGGCATATGACAACTAACTGATGATGTCTTAGATTTGTGTCTTCATTTAATTGGCAGCTTACATTTTATGTTTTTTTTAATTATTGTACTTTAGATGAAGGTTTACAGAGCAAATTGGTTTCTCATTAAACAGTCAATACACACATTGTTTTGTGACATTGGTTGCCAATCCCACGACATGTCAATGCTCTCCCCTTTTCAACCTGGGATTCCCCATTACAACCTTTCCTTCCCGCTCCTGCCTTCTTATACTTGCCCATGAGCTGGTGTACCCATTTAGTCTCATTTTGTTTCATGGACCTAAGGCTTTGGTGGCATACTGGTTAAGTGCTATGGCAGGTAATCAAAAGGTCGACAGTTTGAATCCACCAGTCACTCCTTGGAAACTCTATGGGGCAGTTCTACTCTGTCCTGTGGGGTTGCTACCAGTCGGAATCGACTTGATGGCAACAGGTTTGGTTGTTCTTTTTTTCAGTCTTTGGCTGAAGAGGGAATGTACTGAAGAGTGACTTCAGTACTGTGTTAAATGGGTATCCAGGGGCCATACTCTCAGGGTTTCTCCAGTCTCTGTCAGACCAGTAAGTCTGGTCTTTTTTTGTGGGTGATAATTTTGTTCTACATTTTTCTCCAGCTCTGTCTGGGACTCTCTATTGTAATCCCTGTCAGAGCATTCAGTGGTGGTAGTCGGGCACCATCTAGTTGTGCTAGATTCAGTCTGGTGGAGGCTGTGGAAGTTGTGGTCCATTAGTCCTTTGGACTCATCTTTCCCTTCTGTCTTTGGTGTTCTTCATTGTCCCTTGCTCCAAATGGGGAGGGACCAGTGGAGTATCTTAGATGGCCGCCACAAGCTTTTAAAACTCCAGATGCTACTTACCAAAGTAGGATGTAGAATATTTTGTTTATAAACTATGTTATGACAGTTGAGCTAGATGTCCCCCAAGACCATGGTCTTCAGCCCTCAGCCCAGTAATCTGGTCCCTCAGGGAGTTTGGATGTGTCTATGAAGTGTCCAGGACCTTGCCTTGGCCAAGTTGTGCTGACTTGTGTACTGTCTTACCCTTCACCGAAGTTACCACTTAGCTATTGTCTAGTGTTTTTCCCTCTCCACCCCTCCTCTCCCTAGTAACTATCAAAGATTGCTTCTTTCTGTGTGTAAACCTTTTCATGAATTTTTATAATAGTGGTCTCATACAGTATTTGTCCTTTTGTGATTGACTTATCTCACTCAGCATAATCCCTCCAGATTCATCCATGTTGTGAGATGTTTCGCAGATTCATCATTGTTCTTTATCGTTGCATAGTACTCCATCGTGTGTATGTACCATAATTTGTTTATCTATTCATCTGTTGACAGGCCCTTAGGTTGTTTCCATCTTTTGGCTATTGTGAATAATGCTGCAATGAACATGGGTGTGTATATGTCTATTTGTGTGATGGCTCTTATTTCTCTAGGACATATTCCTAGGAATGGGATAACTGGATTATATGGTATTTCTATT